TAAATTTAAATAGATAATTAATAAATTAGATGTTAATTTTTATTTTTTAATATAAACTTATGATATAAAAATGTATTTAAACCCATAAAACTATAAGATTCAATACTTAAAACTTCACATCCCCACGCAGACCAAGTGACCTTCACCCTTGGTGTAAGTGGGAATTTACTTCATGTGGAATCCGTGCTAAAATCCTACGCGTCTCATTTCTCATTTTCCCTCGTTGTCTTGTTAAAAAAAAAAAAAAAAAATCTTTGAACTCCAACTTCTGAACCAAACAGTTACACATGTTGGCGGGATTTACGCGCCTTTTGCTAGTGGGTGAAAACACCCAAAAACAGTCAGCAACCACAAGCAGGAATTATTATCTGCAAAGGGGAAGGGTATTGTGGGAAGAGAAATCATTTCTTTTTTGGTTGGGTCATGGTATAACGTCCTCCTATTTAAACAAATCCAATATGGAAGAATTTCACTTCACCCTAGAGTTCGAGAGTTTTCTTTATTCCCTAGCGTTTCTCACTCTCTACACTTGGTGTTTTGTGTTTGAGATCTTTCAGAAGAAAAGCGATATGGCCGGAGTAGGAAGCAACGTGATGGTCAACGGCGGTCGGAATTTGCCAAGCGGGATTTACGGCCGTATGATTCCGAAGAGGGGAAGGGTGAAGGTGGCGATACTGGTTGGGATTGCTAACTCTGTTGCTTCCATCTTCTCACGCAGTAGTTGTGGAGCCGCTGCTCTCTTGTCCTAACTTCAGACAACACTGAAAAATTTGAGGATTTTGTAAGAGCCCATGGTAGAGTGTGAGTAGAAGTTAGAAGTAGAGGTGTTGCTGCCCTCGGAATGATGTGAGCAGATCTGTTTTTCCTTTTTCTTCTTTTCTTTCTCTGTTGTTCATTTCTGATTTGTCCATGGTTTTTGCGCTGGCGATGAAAATAAATTCTTATTGTTTTCTTTTTTGAAATTACTTGATTTCCTTCCTTTATGTTGTTTGAGTTTCTGGAACACTTTTAATTTTCCTGTTGATCTCCTTCTGTTTGGATAGCAAGAAAATTCAACTCCATCTGCTGTTCTTTCAATTTTCAACTACCATTCGTTGGTATCAAAAGAGTGAATTCTTCAAAGCTAGGATGATTTGATATGGGTTCTGGGATCTGGAGTTCCAGCTACCCTTTTAGAAAAGAAAAGATTTTTTTTTTTTTGACCTTTTTCCTTCAAATTTCATTATGAAGATGTAGGATTTGTTAGAACTTAGAAACATTATAGTTTAAAATTGAACACAAGAACCCCTCGTGCATTTGGAGATTACTAATTTTCATTCCAAGAAATGATCTTCATTTATTTTTTCTTCTTTACAGAAGATAACATATGGATTTTCATACAACCAAACATTGTCTTATAATTTATGTATATTGGGTATCACAATTCACAACACTGATTTATTGCTTCAATTTGATTCCAGCTAAAGATCAAACCATATTTGTTCTTAATTCGTGGAGATACCCAAAATCTTTTGCAACCTCTAACTTGTACCTACATTCCAAAATTCCAGAGTAAGCAAGTTTAGAGTCTTTAGACCAAACTTGACAAAATTAAATGAACATGAAAGAGTCTGGTAATTGATAAGATGAACCAACCTATCCTGGAGTTATCTCTGCCAAATACCAGTGTGGTCGCCCAGTTCATCGCCACATAGAATCTGTTCCTCCAGCTCACTACACGTGTCAGATAGGCTGACCGCCATATCAAAAAGCTGAGGAATCCAGCCAGTGATATTCCATTTGCATCCTGGAAACATTCACATTCAGAAACACCGATGATCCAAGTCAAGGTTCAAACTTCAAACTTTGAGTCGGGCAAAAAAAAAAAAAAAGGGATTTGGGAAGCAGAGGGTTATGTTGTACTGAGAAAATTTACTAACGTTTTTGACTTTACAAGAAAATGCCAGTGAATTTGATTGATTGATACCTTGGATTGGCGAAGGTCCACCAGTGCCTTGTACCCACCAACGGATGCCATGCTTCCGAGATGCTTGTAAACGAAGGGCTCTCCAAAAGGAATGTTCTTTCCACTGAAAGCTTTGCCTCCGTCCTGTTTTCCAATCTTGTTGAACAGCTCCACTAGATATTTTCCTTGCCTTTCAGCAACCTGTTTGGGAAGTGAGAAAATCAGTTTTTTGATATGCTACAGTTCAATGGAGAACGTGTAGAGGAACTGCAGATTTACCTGAGCTAGAGCTGGAAGGACTGGCCTCCCTGTCTGCTCAAGGAAACCACAACAATCTCCTAGTGCAAACACATCTTCAACGGAAGGAACCCGCAACCATTCATCAACTCCAATCCTGGATTACCCAGTAAATACAATTAATCCAATGCTAATGTTATGTTGGGAGAGGAGAGAATGGAGATTATAGAAAAATGCTGGTGTTTGTACCTTCCACCAGGGGACTTGGGGAGATTAAGTGATTTCACAAACTCAGAGGGACCAACCCCGGTAGACCAGACTAGGAGGCCATATGGAACCACAGTTCCATCAGTCAGAATGATCTCTTTGGGATGAACCTCTTTCACAATGCCTCGCATGAGTTGAACACCAGCCTGAAATTCGAATGGCACAATAATGTCTCAAGGTTTAAGAAGAAACATCAAACGTCCTACAAGATTTAAGAAAGGAATTCAATTTAATTACCCCGGTCAGGTGATTTGTTGCATACTGTCTTAGTCCAACATCAAAAGATGACAAAATCTCATTTGCCTCTATGAGTGTGACTTTGATGTAATCCTTAACATGAGTAAACCTCTCTTGGACATCTTTCATTATAAAATCACTCAATTCACCACTAAATTCCACTCCAGTAGGACCGCCTCCAATGATGACACAATGCAGAAGGCGTTTCTTTTCTTCTTCTGATACCCCTGCAACAAGAAATTGTATTTTCAAGATCTCACGTTTAATGTAATAATTTCGGTGGCCAAACCGAAATTGAAAATACTTAGTCATCAGGATCATTGATGCTTATTGATGCAGTTGGCCACGGTTGATGGGAACAAAAAGGAGGGATAGGAGCCTTTAGGATTGGGGAATTTTATGATGTAGAAAACAAATTTACCTGGATTTACAGAGAGCATGAGGTTCAAGAGGAGCTTTCTCCTTATTTCCTGGGCATGATTCACTTCACGAAGGAAATGTGCATTTTCCTTTACGCCCTTGATACCAAAAGTCGATGGCTCGGCTCCAGCAGCAATTACAAGCTTGTCATATGCAACTTTGAATCGGTGAGGTTCACGAGGCAGTACACCATTGCTCACAGTCTCACAGTATACCTGATGAATTGAGAGATAAAATATGAATATGATCATGTTTTTAATCATTGTGACAATCAGCAACATGAAAAAACATATCCTCCATTACAGAATGTGCAACCTGTAGACATCAACTGACCTCATGTTTGTTAGTGTCAACGCTGGTACACGAAGCCAGATAAAAGTATGAATTGGGTTCTGTTGCCAGTGCAGACTGTATCTGGCTAACAGGCTCAGCTACCGACCTGAATTCCAAGGTACCAACACAAGTTGAAGCGAGCAAAGGGGTGAAGACCATGTGGTTCCTTGGTGATATACAAACAACATCGTAAATTCTGGTGTCAAGCCCTTTGAGGAACCGGCATGCTGCCCATCCAGAGCCAAGGACAACCACTCTAGGCTTCTCACCTGGCTTGGTCGCTTCCAGTCCTGTGTACCTTGGTTCATCAGGTCCGGATTCAGTCCCTTCTACAGCCCTCTCTGCCAAGGGGGACTGATAATGTGGGGTTGATGTTACTCCTCTGCTCCAAAAGTTTGAGTAATCTACCTTCCTGGTCCCAGGAAAGTACAATGAGTTGCCATTTGCTTTTACATTTTCAAAGTAAGATGGGGCAGATCTCCCAACGGATACTCCTTCACAGAAGATATCCCTCTCCCTTGGGTAAAAACCAGTGCTACCTCCTGATCTTCTCAAGCTGCTCCTAGCAACCCTAGCCAAAGCCATTGCAAGAGTACTAGCTTTCAAATTAGTCCAGCACCCTTAAGACTCTTGTTCCTGCGGTGAGAGAAGATTAGAGAGGTAAGCTATGCAGGTTGCAACTATTGTAGAAGGGCTAAATTCAGGCAGATTTCATAGGTGAACACAATTCAAGATCTCCAAAATATTTGGAGAGGTTACAACAATATGCAGGAAAGTTAAATTAACGTTTTCCTTTATGATGACAACGATTGCTTCCAAGACTACTTGACAGGACAAATGCCAACTTAGCTTTATCCACCCGGTGAAGGCATATACAAAGAGAGGATTCTTTGTAAACTACCATGAGAAGCTAGCAAACCTAGAAAACTGACATTTAATGACCAAAATCACTCAGTGGGATTAAGGGACAATCAATCAAGTGTATTTTGGCATGGTAAAAAATATTTCAGTTTTATAAATTTAAAGACCTCTCATTTCCCAAAATTCATCCTTTATCAGTTATTTAATTGTGATTATCAAATGGAACAAGAGACCAAAAAGTTTTAAGGTATGAGGATCCAAGAACAGTTGTTCACATGGGCAGCTAATGCAAAGAAGGCAAGATGGTTAAGATTTCTTGTAATGAACCAACAAAGACCTCTAGTTTATTGTGCTAAAAATCATAAATAAAAATAGAAGGATTAGCTTTTCTTACCCAAAATAGAACAGACAAGCAAAAAACGGAACACTCCATACACAGCCCCACAATCTACTTCTATAATCAAGCTTCCATCGATTTACCAATTTTCAACCAGCTAAAAGTACAAAAATGAAAAGGGGCTTCAGCAAGATCTAAAGGCATATGGGACATGATCAAAAGCGATACTTACCAAGAAAGTACTGATTTTTCAAGAAATTTAAACACAAAGAATTCTTTTCCACATAATAAAACCAAATAAATGATGATAAAATAACGTTGGAAAATCTTTCTAGGATGTTCTTTGATATCACAGATAAATATGGGAGACAAAAGAATGCTTGAGTGCCAATTAACTATACTAAACAGCTACTGGACTGGTTTATAATTTTTTTATTGCAGAATCACATGGATCAATAAACTCTTTGAATTCTTCATCACTTAAATTTCTAAGCTGTCATCAAAAAGTACAAAATTTATAAACGAAAGATCCCAAAAACAGAGATTTGCACTAAAGCATCCTCAATGAAAAAACAACAAAGCTTCAAACTTTTCAATATATTGCATCACAAAAGTTCAAAAAGAAGAAAGCAAATTAGAGCTTTCACAGATCTTGTAAAAACCGCAGATAGAAAATCAGGTCCCTAATGAAGCAGAAAAGAACCAAACGCTGAACAAACTTATACACATGGGTACAATGTGAACGGTTCCTGAGCTGCACCTTAGAAGTACATGTGTATTATATCTACCATAAATGAGGTTCCTTTTTGCAACAATTAGAAACAAATATCTAATCTAAGAGAAAGTTAACATATATGATGCTATACGGAAAACAAATTGCTCCTAGTTCGAGTTGGCAACGCCTAACATGAAATCTAGAAGAGGAAGAAACACAAAAGGGAGAAATCACCATAAAAAGGGTATTTTTTAGGGAAGAATCAAGCGCATTACTTTGAAACAATGAACTTTGATCTTCCTTTTCTGTGGGAGCTTGAAAAGTAGCTGTGTATCCAAGATTCGTGGAGAGCTGATGGGGCTAAAGCTTACAACCTAGTGAAATCTCAATTCATGCTTTTATTGGGGAGGAGGGGGGGGGGGATGATGTGCTAATAAAACAAAGAAGAGATCAAAGCAGCCGCCTTGGAACCCAAGAAATGGGAAGTTGCTGAGAAATCTCCTAACAACTCTACCTCATTTATCAACTGAAAAATTGTGCGAAGAGAGAATTTTACAGTATATTCTGCTGGCAAGTTGGAAAAATGGAAAGAGAGAATATACTATAAAGAAATCCTGCCACCCCCTGTCCCTTTCAGAGACAATTCTGTCCCTTTCCCTTGCTCCTTTCAAACGGGTAAAAGAGGGGCAGTTTTGGGTCTTTGAAACCTTTGACCTTTTTAATTGTTGTGGCAGCTGTATGGGCGGCGGTTATGGGAGACAAAACCCTAGTGGAAACTGGTGATTCCATGCGGTCTTGACCATTAGATGGTAACCCTTCAAACACGCATGCTTGATGAACGGCCTTGATGACACAATGATCCACCAGTAGTTGGATCGATACGGAGGCAAGCGGTGTTTCGTGTGAAAGGGAAGAAGGAAGATCATTCGGCGGAGTCTCAACGGTGGAGCTTTTTCCGCACGCGTCACACGTTGGACTAAAGGTTGCCGGTCTTGTCTGGTTTACTACGATCTAGGAGCTGTCTTTTCCTCATCTTTCGTCAGGTCCCAGACTCCGCAGGACGGAATGAATTTTGTCTTTGCCTTAGATATGAGTTACATTCATGACATGCGTGAATCGTGATGCATTACGTAAAACACAATCAATTCTAAATTCAATACGCATCTGGGTTTTTGAGTTTTGAATTAAACAGATCAATTCTTGAATGGAATTAATTCTGCTAACTGAGTTTGATACAGGGGAGACGTGTATTTGAAGAGGTTAGATTGGTGATTAACAGAGAAAATCTTCCTAATTTTGTAGCTGTTATTGATTCCTGGATGTGTTCAAGTTGCCGCAGCAAAACCTTCACCAGAGTCACCAAAAACAGAGTTCAAGATCATGGCTAATCTGACTCCTCCTTGAGCAATTCGTTTCATGACAATTGGCATCCTGGAATTGAAGTACTCATCTGCAAACACAAGCACAACAATTTATGTCTTGTTCTGCTGAAACAGACATTGAGTTGTCTGTAATTAACACAACTTTTGCTCATACCTGCAAGAGTGTCGCCGGATTTTACGCCTTTGTAACCCCATTTGCAAGCTATCTTTACACTCTCTGAAGCATACCTGCGTATAAGCCAAGAAAAATATAGTTGCTAAATGCGTCTAAAGGGACAGTCTTTTCCGGGAAATCTGTAATTTTCTTGAGAAAAAAGACAAGAAACTTACTGGTTTAAGCAAGGAAGAAGATCATCACATTTTCCCCATGAAGGTACATCATCAGCCCAGATCCCCTGTTTCAAGAACAAAGAAACAGGGTAGATGTAAAATTCTAGCCTGATTTTCAGTTCCTCTGACAATTTAGGCAGTTGAAACAAGTTGTTCTTACATCAGTGATGTTTCCGGTAATGGCTTCCATCAGACTGTCCAAATCCTTATCATAATAATCTTTGAGAGCTGTAAGAATAATCTCCCTGTCCCATACCTGTTTCCTTATGAAATTCAGAATAAGGAAATCCAAGAAAGGACT